AGTCTAAGTAATCACTATAGTCCCTTTACTGTAAATAGTAAAGATGAGTATTTCTGTATACAGACAGGAACCTCGGTTATCCGCACTGCACCTAAATGCGTCATTAGTGAGAAACCGCTGGAAATCGCTCACAGTTAGAGGTTGGATCGTGGACAGGCGATGTCCATTTCTGAATCTGACGCAGTAATGACAAAATAATGTTTAATGCAGCCATTTCCATTGCCTCGTGTTAGTGTTTTCCACGTTAGAAATTGACTTTCCTTTGCATGTGTTTGTGGTGGGGTATCAGTGGTAGAACGGAATACGCTCAGCTTTTCGAGAACACCACGTCATCACTATTTGATTGTGTCTCATTACCAGATGCTTATGATAAGGAAGGGTTCGTACATGGATCTTTCAGAGATTGCTTATGAATATGGAAATATGTTTGCCGCATTCATTTCCGAAATGACGAGCTTCATGTCAACTTTGCATTTGTTTCACAGTATCAATCCGAAGCCTGTACAGTGCGCTATACAAGTTCATATGTAGTAATAAGTTATTGGTGGTGCTCAAGACATGGTAGGGAAGACCTTACTGTCTAGACCAAGTAATCGCTTGTATTTGTCAAGACTTGTACAATTAATAGAAAATTCTCACCCACTTATATGCCAGACGATTCACTGAAGAAAAGTAATCTAAATTCAATACATTGTATCTGTCTCGACTGTTTAAGACCACTTATCGCTGTAGAAATATGTTGCACCTGTGTCCAAACCTTTACAAGGAATTTACCGTTAAAGTAAATGAACAACCATTAAATGTTATTATGGAGTCTCAAAAGTAATATCTCTCAGTTCAAGCTAGCATATGTTCAAGTTTAAATGAAAACATCGTTTTATCTGAAAAAGAGAACTCTACAGGCGCTTGGTCATCATTCAACGAATACTTAAATTTGTTTTTATTGTTCAAATATATAATTTTTTAAACATTCAAGAAACTTGGCATGACACACACCTGTTGATTGATGTCTTAGACGTGTAATCTTTGAAAATCGATAAAAGTTGTCGGTTTTCCTGTTACACAAATAAGCATGGTAAGGGGCAGGTGGTTGCAAATTTATTTCTTACCCCTGCCATTATTGAACAAATTTCTTTGTACATGAAACAACACAGCTAGAATTTACGTTTTACAGACTTGTTGAGAGTTGAATGAGTGATGAGTAAATGGATATTACCAAATGTCCAAACATTGTTTTCATTTTTAAGTCTCATTAACAACAAAATAGGTAATACTGTTCTTTCTTTTGCCGCTCGGTTTAGATTTACAGCTTTTCCGTCGTGGGCATTAAATCAGAGCAAAAACCACCTCGACCGTGTTAGCGACTGACCTATCCGTCAGACAACAGGAAACATATACTTATCCAATATATTTATTAAAATCAACACTTTTCTGGCTTTCATGGTTTGAGTAGTTTAGTTGTTAAAGCGTTCGCTCGTCACGCTAAAGACCCGGGTTCGATACTGCACATGGGTACAATCTGTGAAGTCCATTCCTGGTGCCCCATATTGCTGGAATATTAGTAAAAGTGGCGTAAAAACCAAACTCACTCACTCACTCACTGTCTTTCATGTTTCACGCGTATATGCTTGATAAATGTTGTGCCTTAAAAAATAAGTTCAACCATCAGGGTCAGTTGTAACATCTTTTCACATCGAGTTCGATATAACGGAATTCGATTCATCGGGGTTAGAATACGGTTTGCCATCAACCAAATCTGAATTTAGCATATTAAATGATTCGACACATCATAGTTCAAGACAAACGTGTACGACTGTTGCAGTTTGACCTTGAAGTTTCTGCCCTATCACCAGCCTATGACTCATTGCAAACTTGACAAAGAATTTCTTTGTCAATATTTTCGTACTTAAGAACGTTTGGTCCTGGGGGGACATGTCTTTAAGCTTGAGGATTTTAATCTGTTCATCCTACATTAACCTTTTGAACTGCACCCTAAAGAAATGAAAAACAAGCAGCAACAAACGTCGTGTAAAGGGTAGTCTCCCTTGGATGTTATAGAGGGCGTTTTATCGTTGATGTGACCTCTGCCCACTGATGACTGACTGACTGACTGAGTTTGGTTTTACGCTGCTTTTAGCAATATTCCAGCAACATCGGGGGACACCAGAAATGGGCTTCACACATTGTACCCATGTGGGTATTCGAACCCTAGTCTTCGGCGTGACGAGCGAACGCTTTAACCACTAGGCTACCCCACCGCCCCGTATTTGCTCAATAAATATCTCTCAACAACACAACTTAATATGTACACAGACACATGCAATATAGTGTATAGTTCCAATGGTAGGGCATGTACAACAGATGAGTCCGCTTGTAAAGGATCGCGTGACGTGCTTGACTGCGTGTCATTGCGCACTGACCAAATGGGTCGATAGTCATAACTTGCTCAACTTTCAATTAGGGTCTGGCGTCATCACCTTTTGACAGTGATTCATAAGCGCATGGTCGTGATATACAATTTACAATAAACTGTGCTTTCAGCAGTGATTTCTATTAATTGTGGTAAAAGTTCTATAAAAGTTTGTATTTACTTCCATTTGTTTGTTGTTTTACGCCACACAGCTAAATGGCGAAGGTCTGTATATAATCGAATCTGGGCCAGACAATTCAGTGATCAACAGCAAGAGCATCGATCTGCGCAATTGGGCATCGATGACTTCTGTCAACCAAGCCAGCGAGCCTGACCACCCGATCCCATTAGTCGCCTCTTACAACATGCATGGGTTACTGAAGATCAATTCTAATCCGGATCTTCACGGGTATGTTCTGAGGTGAACATTCACTTGTCCTTGCATGTGTTTGTTACGAATGCCTCCGGTGGGACCCTTTCTGCGAACACCTGACATCATTACTATTGATAGTAATGGATAAACACTGTCAGCGGACAGCGATTTAACCACAAGACTTCCGACCAATACCCGAACATGAGTGAGTGGGGTGTTATGCCTTTTGTAGCAATATTCCAGCAATATCAAGGCGGGAAACCAGAAATGGGCTTCACACAGTGTCTTCCCCGTGAAGAGCCAACGCTTTAACCACTAAGCTACCCCACCTCCCGCTATATATACTAAACACTACTACAGCGGTCACTACTTTCACTTCCATTACTTTCACTTTCATTACTTTCACTCACAACGGGTGTTACCAGAGGGGCAGGACACAATCACCAAAGGGAGACAACTGGTGTAATAACTGTAACGTCATATATATATATATATATATATATATAGAAACACCGTTGCCTCTCAAGCTCTGACGTATATAATGACTTACTCACAAGGTCAACCACCTTGCGTGATCATACGTAAAAGTGGAGGTTTATTAACAGAATAATTGCGTCGCTTATTTAGACACGGTGGCTATCCATGATGGTTTGGGAAAATATTCCAATAACGTGAACTAACCAGTCAAGGTGAACGCGACGTATGATTCTTCCCAAAGCGTTTCCTGTGTAGATAATTATAGCTATTTTTACGAACGGTGGTCTAGATCGGATGCATTGCATGCTTAAAGTGCACAAAAAAGACATCCAATAAACCATCTGTTGTCATTTGTCGACCTTTTTATCCAGTTGAAGATTGAATACCACGTGATGATCATGAGCGACTGCAGCATGTTCCTGTGTATTGGGTGGTGGGGGGTGGGGGGTGGAGTAGCCTAGTGGCTAAGGCGTTCGCTCGTCACGCCATAGACCCGGGTTCGATTCCCAACATGGGTACAATGTGTGAAGCCCATTTCTGGTGTCCCCCGCCGTGATATTGGTGGAATATTGCTACAAGCGGCGAAAAACCAAACTCACTCACTCACTCCTGTGTATTCGCGTATATGTCCATCTGTCTGCCTCCATGCCCGACGAGAAGGTGTATACGATAGTACCATAATACTATTCACCTTTGTTAGGGATAATCATTTATGTCAAATACATATGTTTCAATGACATATAACAGGGTTTAACGCGACACGCCAATGTTCGTCAAGTACGCACCAATGTAGAAAATGGACTTCACAATATCATTCACTGTACCCACAACACATCTATGACTCTGCTGAGTGTTTAGATGTGTCTTTCAGAGCATTTGCGAGCAGCATTTCATCCACCAGTCCACGTGATAAATGATTCATTCCTGGGCCCCATTCCACAAAGCGATCGTAGAGCTAAGGTGATCGTAACTCCCATACTTTAACATAGACTTACGACAGTCGTAGCGCTTAGATGATCGTAACTCCCATACTTTAACATACACTTACGACAGTCGTAGCGCTAAGGTGATCGTAACTCCCATACTTTAACATAGACTTACGACAGTCGTAGCGCTAAGATGATCGTAACTCCCATACTTTAACATACACTTACGACAGTCGAAGCGCTAAGATGATCGTAACTCCCATACTTTAACATAGACTTACTACAGTCGTAGCGCTAAGTTGATCGTAACTCCCATACTTTAACATAGACTTACGACAGTCGTAGAGCTAAGATGATCGTAACTCCCATACTTTAACATAGACTTACGACAGTCGTAGCGCTAAGTTGATCGTAACTCCCATACTTTAACATAGACTTACGACAGTCGTAGCGCTAAGATGATCGTAACTCCCATACTTTAACATAGACTTACGACAGTCGTAGCGCTATGGTCGCTTTGAGGAACGGGGCCCTGGCCCTAAAGAATGATCAAAACATAGTTCTCTACACTGTTACTTCACAGGGCCCTCACATTACATGCAAGGGTCCCCAAAAGTAGTAATTGGGGGTCCCAGGAACCCCCATGTTTGTAAGTCGAGGTAGAACCCTGAATATATATATATATATATATATTTGTTTCTATATTAAATACGTTTACACTTGACAAATTGCCCGAACCAGAATCACGGGAAGGTAGGTTATCCCTATTTAAAGTTGAGTAGTATAAGAAAAAATGGCACAAACAGTTACTCACCAAACAGCAGTAGCATTAGGTCGGACACTGCCAGGCTGAAGAGGTAGTAATTAGTCGTCGTCTGCATGTTGGAGTTGCGGGCGATGACGATGCACGTGCAAACGTTGCCGATGGTACCAGAGATGAAGATGAGGCTGTAGATGATGGTGAGGAGGATGCCGGCTGTGCTACCCATGTTTTTCGGGCCAAGGTTGGTGAGGACGTAGTCTTCGATGGAGAAGTTGGTTACAACGACGTCACTGACGTTGCTCGCGTTGAGAACAACGGACACACTACTTACTCCAGACATTGTTCAGTTAACACTGTTCAGTATGTATACGTTCCACACACCCACAGGACACGGTTTATGCTCACTGGGGTATACTTCATATTGCCTTGTTCATAAAAACTTCCTGATACCATCAACTCCGTGGGCAATGTTTTTACTGTTCCAACCTTTGATAGAGATGAAGCATTCAAATGCATCCCATTATATCCGATAATTCATAACTGGCTAATCCCCTGGTATTCCACAAAGATCACTGATAACTGAACACACTGAATACCTGTTGCTTCCACAATAGTCGGACACGTAAAGCGTAGTGCATTATCCGCTGTGTGTCACTTCCACGTTTACACACAGTATTATGTAGTTTGTGTTTTCTCTACGTTTACATACATTGGTTCCACTGTAGTTTGTGACATCCACTTTTCACACATTACATCAGGGTTTGTCTGACTTCCACATTTGCACACAATATTGATGTGTGACATCAAACCAATTGTATATTTGAGTGCAGTTGTCTAACGTCCACTTTTACACACAATATCGGTTTGACTGTAATATGTGTGACATCAAACCAAATATATTTTAGAGTGTAGTTTGTCTGACATTCACGTTTCAACCCACCAACCTGTACTTAATGTGATCTCCATGTTTACACACAATAGGGACTTTACGGTAATGAATCTGACATCCACGTACTGACATAGCACAATGTAATGTATCACTTCCACGTTTACGCACTGTGTTGACTTGTAAACATTATATAGTTAAACATCAACGTTTTCACACAATTTGGTGTAGCTTGTCAACATCCATGCTCAGAGACAAAGTGAACTTGACGGTAGTTGTGTGACATCAACGTTTTCACACACTTCAATGTAGTGTGACCAACGTCCACGTTTACACACTGTATCCACTTAATTGCAATATGTCTGACATCACGTTTAGACACAAGATGAAGTTGACTATAGTTAGTGTGACATCAAAGTTTTCACACACAACAATGTAGCGAGAGCAACATCCTCGTTTACACACTGTATCCACCTAATTGTAGTGTGTCTGACATTCAGGTTGTGTCTGATTTTCACGTTTACAGACAATATTGTAGTGTGTCTTATATCCAAGTATTGACTTGTGTGAACTATGTCATGCACACAATTAATCAATTCCGATCTCTAGTAAACCACAGGGGCAAACACTTTTATGTTATTTAATCTATTGTAAATGATTGGTGTTCTGATTCAACTGTACACTGAAACACCCAAAACAATCCTTTTGCCTCATTAAATGTTCGTTAATTTAGGTTTTTAAACTCATATTCGAAAATTCAAAAATTCAATTTACCTTGAATATAAGAAACACATGTTTTCTCAACTCTCCACTAGATTCAGAATGGTTCCATTATAGCATTTTCCCCTGAAGCATGTCTCCACATGTTGATCACTATATACGATTCCTGTAATTCTTTGAGTAATTCCTACATGTTTCCACCAAGCAACAGGTATCCTCCTCGTCGAACCCAACGCCGAGCACTGAAACAAACCAAACAGTTGTGTTATCCAGAACGCATAACGTAATTGTGACCACACTGTAACCCTCCCTCCGTGGAAGGTGTGTCTTCTCGTATTTGCATGTAATATCCAATCACATGAGATCCGGGGTGAGTTTCAAGCAACGTGAACCGAGCCAATAGGAGAGTCTGAATTGGCCGAACAAATAAGTTGATATGTTTATAAAGAGTTCGCCCAATGCCTGCGAAAAATGTCACTCAAACCTCCCAACTTTAAATCCATTTTAACCAAGTCGCTGTGACCAGCATCGTCAGCTGCTGATGCTGACACGGGGGATGCTTGTCCCTGAGATTGCAACCAGGGCTGTGGGAAGCTATGAGCCGTGTTGATAAAGCTGGTGTACAGCTAGGCGTTGAATCCGTCGCTGTAATCGTTTGTGTGGTAGCGAGAATATACTCTGACGCCGGTGTATTCTCCGGGGCCGTTACTCAAGTGATTACCCGGGGGATAACCTAAATGGGAGCCTCTTTCGTAGCACCGCTACAAAATGACGCAGGCAGTCCAGATCAGCGTTGGAGTGACGGTTAAAATATGCTGATCGCGTTTGATATTTAAAGCGCTGAGAGTGGCCATCTATAAACACAAATATAAGCTTCATTTCATTATATAATTGAATCAGTGTTTACTTTGGGATGTGATAAACGATTCTCGTAATTCGATGTACGGAGTTTGCTCCATTTACACTTTTACTCAACACACGTTCACGAGCATTGATCCAAGCTTTATAAATATTTACTACTCTCTGGAAAAGTCGGTTTTAGAAATATATCGATGTTGACGAGTTTCGATGTAACTCATTTAATGTACGCTTTTATACTTAAAAACCCTTTCATCGGGACTCCGTGAATAATAGACTATGGACTCCGGATTTTCGAGGCTTCATTTCATATTCATTTTACCATACATGTTGGTACAGGATAGTCCACATGGAGCATACGTATGAGAATATGTTCTTATTTTCATGACCGTCCTAATAGCTAAGTAAATATAAGGCCTGTGATGTGGGAAAACCAGGGAACACCATCCCTTAGATTCATTATAGGGACGGTGGGGTAGCCTAGTGTTTAAAACGTTGGCTCGTCACGCCGAAGACCCGGGTTCGAATCCCCACATGGGTACAATGTGTGAAGCCCATTTCTGGTGTCCCCCGAGGTGATGTTGCTGGAATATTGCTAAAAGCGGCGTAAAACCAAAACTCAGTCAGTCAGTCAGTCATTATAGGGACGGTGGGGTAGCCTAGTGGTTGGATGTCGGTCGTCACACGGAAGACGCGGGCACACATGGGCACAATGTGTGAGGGTATCCTACGCCGGGATATTGCTGGGATATTGCTAAAAGCGGCGTAAAGTCGCTCGCTCATTTAAGAGAGATTGTATATTATGTGTCACTAAACACCTTTACTCTTTCTATCAACCACTGATTATGGGGAGGTGGGTTAGCCTAGTGGTTAAAGCGTTCGCTCGTGACATTGGAGATCATGGTTCGATTCCCTACATGGGTCCAATTTAGGAAGTTCACTTGTGGTGTCCGCTGGTGTGATAGTGCTGGAATTTTACTAGAAGTGGCATAAAACCACACACACTCTTTCATACATTCTCTTGTGTATAGGCGATAACTGTACAGGTCGACACGAAATACATACTACGTAACAGCATTAGCATAATGAGTGAGTGAGTTTAGTTTTACGTTTAGCAATAATAGCAATAATATTTCCGGGGACACCAGAAATTGGCTTCCCAGCATAGCTGTACCGTTCACCATGAAATGCATGCTACATACCAACATTAGCTTAACTTACCGATTACTGATCAGTTCCAGGTCTAAAGTTGCTGTCCCAACACATTTAGAGTAAATTTAGGCTTGCCACGTTTTTAATCGTAGAATATGTTTGCTTTTAATTTATGGCTAGTTTTCTCTTCTGTCGCCAATGGCTGAAGGGATGGTGTAAATCCAACTAGGGTCCATGCAGGTAGCAAAAGTAATGTAAGTCCCAATGGTCCTTGGTATGATGATCTGTATGGCAAAAATAGCCCATTTTTATACTGTATTGTTTTCCCCCTATAGTTAAAACGTTTAAGATTTAAGTACTAGTTTTACATACATATCTGTGATATTCTAGTTGTTTTACTGTCCTTCGTCGGCAGTTTTTTATAATATACATATATTTCATTTCATATCAAATATTCTCGTCACGATATGGCTGAAATATTGCCGATGTGACGTTAAATATCAACTCACTCACTCACTCACTCTAAAGTTGCTATACTATATGGACAGGGAACATCTCTTTATGATGTACGGCTGTGAACAGCTTTGGATAATACATCGGGGGACTACTTTAATATACAGTACGGACATGGACTTATTATAATTGGGGGTCAAACATCAGTCACTGAACACAAACAGATAAATACGAAAACGTTCCTCAATGTATACTCAACAAAACTAGAAACTTGACATCTATATTACTGGCAATAATTGTGAGGGATTAATTCTCTTTTTTCTTGTATGGTATAGCCAAGGAAATGACAAGTATACTTTTTTAATATGGTCTTGGAGAGTGAGTGAGTGAGTTTGGTTTTACGCCGCTTTTAGCAATATTCCAGCAATATCACGGCAGGGGGACACCAGAAATGGGCTTCACACATTATACTTATGTTGGGAATCGAACCCGAGTCTTCGGCGTGAGGAGTGAACGCTTTACCCACTAGGCTATATACCCCATGAATGAATGAATTAAAATTTGAAGTTTAATCAAACAGCGAGTATGCCGCTGCTCACAAATCAGCAATGAGTGACTAATGCTGGACATTTACTTGCAGGAGTTGCTCGAGGCTGTAGTTCTGGTACACTAGACAGTCACTGTGGTGATGCCATGTGTTCGCAAAATGGTGAATTTATCTTGTCCCACCAATAGCACGCGTCATAAACACATGCAGAGGCAAAACAATTGTTTATTTGAATACAAGCATAGAAAAACAGATTGCATAAATCCAAACAGGAAAATACTTTGTGCATTTCACCTTGGTGCTTCAATCTGTCGCATTCCCATTTAAATTAGCTTATCGATGGCCTAACATGTTTACGATTTTTACCAAGTCAAAACATTGATTACACAATAGTCTCGTTTCCTGCTGACTGGGTTCCGTCCTATGCGCAACTTAGCACAATAACCAGTCCAGAATTTTGGGACCAATTCATTCAACTGGATACATAAATATTAATCAGTATATTTTTATACATCTAAGCACTTGTATATTGCAACACTACGCTCCTTCTAATCCTTGCAAACACGTCGTGCAGCGTGCCCTGTCGTACAGCGTGCTCTGACAAACGGAAATCTGGAAATCGTGGAAATCTCAAAACGAGGCTCTGCCGCTAGAAACGTTTGGCGGTCTGGTACGGGTTCGATACTATATAAATCACATTGTGCGTTACAAAAATACACTGAATAAGCGCAAGGTGACAGGTGAAACCAGTGACGCAGATGAATTGTGAATCTTTTTACGACCTCATCAAACAGGGGCAGTCTGTGACGTCTTAGTTAAGGTCATGCTCCCCACACCTCGCCATAAAATATCGAAATACGATGTTATTAAAGTTTAAAACATAAAATGAACTCTAAATACCATTTTCGTATGACGAATTGGAATTCAGTGTAACCATAGTTGTTTGTGGTGTCTCTTTTCACTTTCACACGAGCAAATTCGGGTCAGGTGAAAAGTAGGTCATTGTCTGAATAGGTTAATGAGACTCGTGTTTCGGTTTGTAGATAATGTTGTACAAGTTATGTTACAATTATTAATTTTCCGTTTGACCGACATTCGACGATGTTGTGATACATTTGTCACATCTGTTGTCTCCGTGTATAAATAAAGTGCACGCACAGTAATCATTGAATTATGCATTATGTTGATGTAGTGTTGTTGGGATATGAATCATCCCTGTTATAAGTAATTAAATAAATGTCCTGATAACGTATTCACCAACTGGAATCTCATCATTAATCAACTTTCTAAAGCTTTTAAAATTCCACTTCAGATAAAGATATGCTCAAAAGCATAATGATAAAAGCAACACAACCATATCCACATTCACAAAAATATCTGCTACATTCAGTCGACTTTGATTAGATTTTATCATGAGTTTGTGTTTATTAACCACCAGCAATCAGTGTCCGCTAAATGGTCAGCGTACTTTCCCTCACCGGTAGGACCCATCACAAACACATGCAAAGGCAGGAAAACTGATTAATATTAAGTATTCAATATAGGCAGGAAATGCGTATCTGAATACATTCTGAAATTGCAAATATATACATTCAAATTTGCATCTATATTTTCTATCTTATTTAATACTTTTGGAGATGTATAATATTCAAACAAACCATTTAGCATGGCGTCATGAATATTCTACACTACGGCGAAGTTGTCAGCCCGCAGAGAGCAACTAGTCTGACATGCACTCAATTTAGCATACAATCATTAAGCTGGGGTGAACTACAGGTCATACTGTTTGTATTCCATATAAATCCTTGTCATGGATTACTGTTACCAGTATGGGGTAAACACACCATACACAAACAGGAAGCTACGACATCCCGACAAATATCCTTCACTGAAAGGACCTCTACTCTGTAATTTACTGCTGTGAATTCCCATGGGGGATCCGAATTAGAACTGGTCCCCAGCAAGCCATGATGGTCAAACCAATTGGATCAGGCTTGTGACGTGCTTGACTGCGTGTCATTGCGCACTGACCGAATGGGTCGATAGTCAAAACCTGCTCAACTTTCAATTAGGGCCTGGCGTCATCACCTTTTGACAGTGATTCATAAGCGCATGGTCGTGATATACAATTTACAATAAACTGTGCTTTCAGCAGTGATTTCTATTAATTGTGGTAAAAGTTCTATAAAAGTTTGTATTTACTTTCATTTGTTTGTTGTTTTACGCCACACAGCTAAATGGCGAAGGTCTGTATATAATCGAATCTGGGCCAGACAATTCAGTGATCAACAGCAAGAGCATCGATCTTCGCAACTGGGATACGATGACATGTGTCAACCAAGTCCGCGAGCCTGACCACCCGATCACGTTAGTCGCCTCTTACGACAAATATGGGTGGCTGATGACCAATTCTAACCCGGGTCTTTACGAGTGTTTTTATTTAGTGTAATGATACCAATCACAAGATTGGCACGATGTTGTTAAATATAGGTTCTCATAATCTGAAACGTTTTGGTTATTTATTTATGAATTAACTGTTTCTTATCCATGACACCGATTTAATTCTATATAATACTGGGGTTTTCTATTTTTTCCCAAATGCTAAATAAATGCATGCATATAATTTAGAGACATTTAACTGCCATGTTATAATTTAGAGACATTTAACTGCAATGTCCAAGTGA